GGGGGGGGGGGGGGGGGAGACAGGGACAGATAGAAACAGGGATGGAGGGAGACGAGAGACATGAGGATAAACAGAGGCACAGGGACCGGCGGATAGAGACGGCAGAAAGAGACGTAAAGAGACACACACAGAAAGACGTAGAGGCACAGAGAGGCGAACGCAGAGAGGAAAAGGCAGGCTTACCATTTCTTGAGTGTTTGTGTTCTTTTTTAGCTTTCTTACTCTGTTTTACTTCGAACATCGCAGAGAACACAGGGGTGTCCCCCAGAAAGGGGCGAGGAAAATGAAGGAGTGTGTGATATTTCATGATGCAGCTGTGAGAAAAGGATCATGATGGCCACCAAGTTCCCGAAAGGAAGCGGGGATACCACCAGGAAGAAAGTTCCGATACAAATGCGGCGAAGGGGACGAACATTCCCCGACTTCTTGGGGCGCCTCTCCATTTGGAGTAAAAGCAGTGCTCGGTCTCGAGAGGGAACGGTGCGTGTGGTCGAGGGTATCTAGAACGGCTGAGGGTAAGCAACAAACCATGTTTCCTGCCTTATCGTCCCCATCCTCACCCCTTAACTTGCGTGTGTCACCCCGCGCGCCCCCGGAAAAAAGACCATCCTTACAGCAAATTCTGCTGGGGAAACCTGCACTCCCTGCGGGAAGAGCCCCAATCCAAGGGGGTGGACGTGCGGCAAGAGCTGGTCGACTTCCACGCCAAGCACTACCGGGCGTCCGCGATGCAGCTGGTCGTTCAGGGAGGGCAGACCCTCGACGAGCTCCAGGCCTTGGTACTCTCGACCTTCTCCGGGATTGCCGTTGCCGCCGCGGGCGGGGGCGACGACGTCAAGAAGAAGAAGGGGGGGGGTGAGGGCGGTCTGCCCGAGGAGTCCGCGACGGTGGCAGCGGCGGGCCTGCCGTTCGACGACGCGGGGGCGCTGGGGAGGGCGTTTCGTGTGCAGCCGGTCAAGGACGTGCACCGGCTCCATGTGACGTGGCAACTCGGGGAGCAACACAGGTGTTGTGCCTGTTGGGGGTCTGCCTCTGCCTGCTAACCACTTTCGGTGTGCACTGCTGTCGTGGTTGGCGTTTTTTCTTTGTCTTGGCGCCCCCCCCCCCCCCCCCCCCCCCCCCCCCCCCCCCCCCCCCCC